ACTGCCTTGGATGCGTGGACTCATCTGGCTGATTTATTTCAGGATAATAAAACTGCTCGTGCCATTCATTTGGAGACTGAGTTTGCCAATACTCATCTCCGTGATTTTTCGGATGCTAAAACTTATACTCAATATCATCTCCGTGATTTTTTCGGATGCTAAAGAACTTATACAGCGGCGTCTAAGTGTTGGCTGATCAACCTTGAAAGCTCGCAAATGTCGGGCTGAAACTCGAGTTTTCTGATGCATCGTCTATTGTTTCTTCGACTCTAACCGGTTCTTTGCGAAGTTAGGAGTTTGCGATATTCAAAGATTTGTTCAGCAGAACAAAAACCCCATGCCTTCCTTTTCCCAAGTTCGATCGATGCTCCTGTTAGAAGAGACCACGAAAGCAGAACGGCTGAAGCAAGAAAATAATACATCTTCGCATACTGCTATGCTGATGAGGGTGGATACCGAGTCCAGTGGGTCCCATCCTAATGGGGAAAATTCTAGGGCTTCTTCAAAAGGCAAGCGGCACATGGGAAAACAGAAAGGGGCCAAAATAATCGCAGCAATGGGTCGAATAATAGTTATCGCCCAAATTCACGATTTCCACAACAGTCTTTCGTGCCCCTCTCTTTTCCGCAGCAATCCTATTGGCAATACCCGGTTTGGAGCAATTGGAGTTCGCCTCAACCCTAGATGGCGCCACCACCGCCTTGCCCATATCCTTCCACACCATGGGTCTCCAGACCAGCGCAGCAAATTCGATCTCCGGGGGTGTTGGGTCCTCATCCGTCTCAGGTTTCACCACAGGCGTTTCATGCCGCAACTGTTACACCATCTGTTTCGGGTTACAATCCCTCTGTTACTGGTTCATCAACAACTGCATCTGTTTCGGGTTACAATCCCTCTGTTACTGGTTCATCAACAACTGGTTATGCTCCCACTGACATTGATCAAGCACTCCACACCATGCCTTTACACCAACCTGAGGAGCAGTGGTTTATGGATTCAGGAGCAACATCCCACATGACTTCTCAACAAGGTACGCTCACTTCTTATTCTCAATTGAGCCCCAATAATGGTATAATTGTTGGTAATGGTGCTGTTATTCCAATTCGAGGATTAGGGCACGTACCCCTAACTAAAGCCAAACATCCTTTAAAATTATCTAATGTTCTACATGCCCCTAAGATAATAAAGAATCTTATTTCTGTTCGAAAGTTTACCACTGACAATTGGGTGTCTGTTGAATTTGATCCTTTTGGATTTTCTGTGAAGGCATATCCGACGGGGACCAAAATTCTGAGATGTGAGAGTACTGGTGATCTGTATCCGTTTAATATTTCTGCACCTACTGTTCAGTCTGCTTCTGTGTGTTCTGTTTCGCCAAATTTATGGCATTTGCGGTTAGGCCATCCAGGTGGGAATGTTCTTCATTCACTTCGAAAGAATAATCTCATTGGTTGTAATAAAGAAAATTTTTCATTTTGTAATTCTTGTCCACTTAGTAAAAGTGTACGTTTACCATTTTTAGATTCTTTGAATTTCACTTCTCAACCTTTTGCAATAATCCATAGTGATGTATGAGATTCTTTGAATTTCACTTCTCAACCTTTTGCAATAATCCATAGTGATGTATGGACTTCACCTGTTCAAAGTTCATGTGGTCATAAATATTATGTCTTGTTCTTAGATGATTATACCAACTTTTTGTGGAAATTTCCGTTGTCTCATAAGTCCCAGGTTGTGTCTACGTTTATTCGATTTTATGCTTTTGTTAAAACACAGTTCTCCACTTCCATTAAACAATTACAATGTGATAACGGACGAGAATATGATAATCATACCCTTCAGAACTTCTGTTTAACGAATGGCATTGTTCGTCGGTTTTCTTGTCCTTATACCTCGTCTCAAAATGGTAAATCTGAGCGCAAAATTCGAACAGTCAACAATATAGTTCATACTCTTTTGTTGCATTCGTCTGTTCCTGCCTCTTTTTGGTATCATGCCCTTGATATGGCTACATATATTTTGAACATATTGCCGTGCAAGAATCTGAATTTCCTTACTCCTATACATGTTTTATATCAACGTGTTCCAGCGTTGTCCAACCTTCGGGTTTTTGGGTGTTCTTGTTTCCCTTTGCTTCCGTTGTCTTCTCTAAATAAGTTACAGTCTCGTTCTACACCATTTGTCTTTCTTGGGTTTCCTAAAAACCATAGAGGATACAAATGTCTTGATCTTCAAACACAGAAAATAATTATTTCTCGTCATGTAACATTTGATGAATCTAGTTTTCCATTTTCTGATATTAATTCATCTTCCCCCTCTCATTATGATTTTTTGGATGCCCCAATATCTCCTGTACTCTTGCAGCAAATATATAATTCTGCACCTACTACACCTATTATGGCACCTACTACAACCTATTATGGCCGCAAACCTCAGTCATCCATACCAGCCCCACTTGCCACATACAACCTACCAAACTTCACCACCAAAATACTTACTCCTCCACCTTCGCCCACATGCTCCAAGCCCTATTACTGGACCCACCGCTAGCACAACCACCATTCCCCTCTCCCTCTAGCTGTTGTGCCGCACCATTCCCCTCTCCCTCTAGCTGTTGTGCCGCCACAAAGAATACATAATATGACTACTCGCAGTCAACGGGGCATTACCAAACCTAATCCAAAGTACAGCCACGCTTTTCACACTCATCACACACCACTTTCTCCTCTTCCAACCAATCCAGCCCGTGCACTTAATGATTCGAATTGGAAAAATGCTATGACTGATGAATATGAGGCCCTAATTCAGAATAAGACTTGGGTGTTGGTACCTCGGCCATCAAATGTGAATGTCATTCGTTCCATGTGGATTTTTAGACATAAATTTAACTCTGATGGTTCTTTTGAGCGCTACAAAGCTCGTCTTGTAGGTGATGGACGCTCACAAAAAGCAGGCATTGATTGTGCAGAAACATTTAGTCCAGTTGTCAAACCGGCCACCATTCGTACTGTGCTCAGTATTGCAGTTTCCAAATCTTGGCAGATACATCAGTTAGACGTCAAAAACGCCTTTCTTCATGGGCATTTGACTGAAACCGTGTATATGCACCAACCGTTGGGCTTTCGAGACTTGAGCAAACCAGATCATGTCTGCTTGTTACAGAAATCACTCTATGGTTTGAAGCAGGCACCACGTGCCTGGTATCAGCGGTTCACAGATTTTGTCAAGATTGGGTTCTAACATAGCATAGTAGATCATTCTTTGTTTATTTATAAGCATGGTCATAATATTGCATATCTACTCTTATATGTTGATGACATCATACTTACAGCCTCTTCTAGTGAACTTCGACAGCACATAATCCACCTTCTAGGCACAGAGTTCGCAATGAAAGATTTGGGCCGACTGCATTATTTTCTTGGCATTAGTGTTACACACACTAAACATGGTCTGTTCCTCTCTCAACAAAAATATGCAACTGAGATCTTACAACGTGCCGGAATGGAGCAATGTAAGCTTTCTTTTACGCCAGTTGCCGTTAATGGAAAAATGAGTGCTGCTAATGGGAAATTATGCCTTGATCCTCAACTTTATCGTAAACTGGCCTGCTGCTAATGGGAGAATTGATGCCTTGATCCTCACTTTATCGTAAAACTGGCCGGCGGCATTGAGGTACTTGGACATTTTACTAGGCGCAAAGATATTGTCTTATGCCGGTACAACAATTATGTCTTTTTATGCGACAAGCCCATCTGAGCTTCATGATGGAATGCCTTGAAACGAGTTTATTCGGTATCATCAAGGGTACACTGGCGTTATGGTGTTGCATCTGAAGCTGCCTCCTCGCTGTACAGCTCTCTATTTGCATACACTGATGGCTGATTGGGCGGCTTGGCCCAGACACTAAGAACACTAAACATGGTCTGTTCCTCTCTCAACAAAAATATGCAGCTGAGATCTTACAACGTGCCGGAATGGAGCAATGTAAGCTTTCTTTTACGCCAGTTGCCGTTAATGGAAAAATGAGTGCTGCTAATGGGAAATTATGCCTTGATCCTCAACTTTATCGTAAACTGGCCGGAGCATTGCAGTAATTGACATTTACTAGGCCAGATATTTCTATGCCGTACAACAATTATGTCTTTTTATGCACAACCCATCTGAGCTTCATATGAATGCCTTGAAACGAGTTATTCGGTACATCAAGGGTACACTGGCTTATGGTTTGCATCTAAGGTCCTCCTCCTTACACTCTCTTATTGCATACACTGATGCTGATTGGGCCGGCTGCCCAGACACTAGACGTTCAACATCCGGATATTGTGTTTTCCTCGGAGACAACTTACTCTCATGGTCCTCCAAAAGACAGCCTACTATCTCTAAATCTAGTGCTGAGGCAGAGTACAAGGGGGTTGCCAATGTGGTATCCGAATCTTGTTGGCTTCGTAACTTGTTGCTTGAGCTTCATTTACCACTCGACAAAGCAACACTGGTTCATTGCGATAATATCAGTGCCATATACCTGTCTGGTAATCCCGTTCAACATCAACGAACCAAACATATTGAACTTGATATTCATTTTATTCGTGAGAAAGTTAGTAAAGGGGAAATCCGTGTACGCCATCTTCCATCTCGGTTTCAGATTGCCGACATTTTCACCAAGGGCTTACCCCGTGTCTTATTTGAAGATTTCAGGACTAGCCTTAGCATTCGTCCTCCTAACCCTACGACTGCGGGGGTGTGATAGTAAATATGTAAATATTGACTAAGATATTCTGTTATGATTATTTGCGATTGTATTGTTGATTTATAGTATTAGTTATAAGATTATATAGCCTATAAATATGTATTTGCTTAATGAATAAAGGATGGAAAACAGAATTACTTTCAAAAATAACTAATTTTTCTAATTAATTGATCGTAACAATTCAAGTATCCTATTTGGCAATGAATATAAAAAAAAATGTTTTCAACAATAAAAAACCTATGCAAAAGACTTGTGACGGAAATGAAGGGATTGCTACAATAACTTATGTAATTAATTATGCTCCAAGCTCACTTTCAGCTAGGATTCAGAGTCTTAGAAAAGCATAAAAATTTATGCAAAAGAGTTCTGAAGTAAACCATCCATTAGTGAGTTGTGACGGAAATGCTTACATTTGACAGTAACATCTTTAATAGCACCAGTAATGCTTTCACTCTTTGCTTCCACTTCAGCAACTTCACTTTCTAGTGTTACAATCTCAGATTGCAGCTTCAATATCTCAGTTTTCTTCAATAAGAAAGCCTTTTTCTTAAGTGCAGCAAGTTTTTTCGTCTTTTCTTCTGTTAACTTTCAGGTTCTTGTAGTCCTTAATTTTATCAACTGCTTCCACAAGTTCTTCATATCTGTTGCGAAGCCATTTTACATCTAACAAGCTCAGCATCAGTAATAGCAGAATGCAAGGACTGAAGATGACTTCTTCGAAGATTGATGAATCGCACAGTATTCAAATCCTGAACAGCTTCACAAACCCTCTCCAGTGCAAAAGTAAGCATTTTGCTGCATTTGATAGGATATTCTTGTGCAATGTCGCCATGCTTGTCCATTATGGCACGAAGAACTGGTGCAAACCTTGGATTTATAGAATAAGGACCCACCTGTTCGTAACAGTTATCTGCTGATCTGATTTCATCTGTGCCGGTTAGATCATCAAAAGTACTTGCCATGTCAATAACTGATGTGCCAACACTATTAATGCTCAATCTGTCTGGGCTGTATGCACCTTGTTCCTTAGTACATGATTGAAGTGCAGTGTTTGGAACAAATTCTTGTAAATAAATAATGGAAGGTGCCTCAAGGACATCAGACTTATCCCTGCTAAGTTCATCCAAAGCATCTTCCCTGTCTGGACAACGAGAGGCAAAAATGCCTTCAGCAGAAGATTGATCAGCCCTATATCTGCTCTCTGCAGAGCCAATATGAATTGCAGTAAGAGCAACACATGCATCAATTACACCACTAGAAGTCTCTTCACTGATTACTTCCTTGCTTGCGCCTTCAGGATATTTATCCGAAGAAGTTCTTTCTATTGCACCAATTTTTTGCCTGATGGAATCAGCAATAATTCCGCAAATTCCTTCTTCAGCAACGCTTTCATTGACTGCTCTTCTAGCTTGCTGCTCTAAAAATTCTATTCCAGCCAAGGTGGAGGTAGATTCTGACTAAAAATTGCCGCCATCATTCGCGAGAACAAACTCCCGACTCATATCTAAATTTTCGTCCTCCTCTATTTTCAATTCAAGAAAAGTCATCGGCAAATAAAAAAAATTAAAAAAAAAAAAAAGAAAGAAAGGTGCTTTCTACAGTGTGTTTATTATATGATTTTAAACAATTTGCATTACTTCTATCTGTTATTTATCATCAATTACTTTGTGTTTTGTAAATTTTCCATAACATGAATTAATTATAATTACTTAAGGACATAATATATAACAAATGACAGAATTCAACTTTATCTTATTCCCAAGTTAATTCAACATTCAAATGGGGATATATTTTTGACATATATTCCATATTGTTGGAGTAAAGGAAAATTAGTAAGAACCTTGTCTGGTATCCGAGTTGGTGCATACGTTTCTCTCACACTCAGTAATAGGATGCACTTCATTTACAAGATTCAAGGCAATGGAACAACCACAGTTGTAGATGGATTTATGTTCATCCAGTTGATTTGGAAAGAATGAAAGAAAGCATTCTTTCCAAGAAACACAGCCCATAAATAATACCTCCCAGAAGTTGTTCCTAGTATAAATCATTGGAAAAAAAAAAAGAAGTAAAGAATTTAAATCAATTAAAAAATATAATTTAGATTTGTATGTCATAAATCAAGAAAAGGGGGAGACAAACGTATGAAAATAGCATGTATTTGAGTCATATGTTATTATTATATAAGGGTGCTTTCACTCACTCCAGTATTTATATGTAAGCTGAAGGGATGTAAAAACCAAGACAGAGACATCACCAATTACAGCTTTAAGAACAATGTCTTTCCCGGTCATATAATTCAGCAACCTATCAAAAACTCCATCACTTCTGTAGAAAAAGTGAAAATATGTCACAAAGAAACTCAATAATACAGAGACAAGACTGCAAAGCATCACACTATGAAAAGAAGAAAGGAAACATCACCTTCTGTCCACTGGAAGAATGTAAAGGTCAATAACATTATCAGTTGGAGGAAAGGTATCAAAACTGACAGGCCATACATCTAGCCTAGAAACCATTTCTAATTGAAGCAATTGTTGTAGCTGTTGTGCCACCTCAAACATTTTAGCACCAGCTTTACTTGAAATATGAGCTGCAAGTCTATTCACTGTACCAATATTTTTACAATTGACACAGATGCTGCCTCTGTTAAGAAGAATATATGGATTATATAAATAGAATTACATCAGCAATGCTAAATATCAAAAGCTACAATTCACAAGTCTTTCTCTACGAAAACTGAAAGAAGGAAAGAGAATAACTGACTTACATCGAGGTAGGATCCTTAAATGGTGTTGCAATAACATTAAAATCTTGATTTATGATGTTTGATGGTTCACCTGTACCTCCCACTAGGTTGTTAAAATTAGCATGCTTGTGTTTCATTTTCTTGCAATTTCTCTCATTCTTTGAGCTAATAAATTTCCTCTGCCTTCCACATTTTGTGCAAAAGGCCATATCTTTCTCCTGATTTAATAAGGAACAAGCACAAATTGCCTCAGTAGGTTGGTTGTCCTGATGTGGCCCATGCAACGGCAAGGCTTGCTCTTTTGAAATCAATTTTCTTGGTCCTCTAGGTTTTCTGGAGGGCTTATTCTTCTCCAAATTTGAACTATTTTTATCTGGTTGGATATCCTTCAAGCGTTGACTTCTCCTTAGTTGGACAAAGGGAAGCATTTTGGAAGCAGTTCTTTGTGCAACTGTAGCTAGATAAAGCTTAAGTCAAGACTGCAACTTCTAGTATCCTGACACTTGTTCACTAACTAACTAACTAACTAACTAACTAACATACTACACATGTATAAATTGATTGAAAGCCATGAATGTACCTAACTGAGAAATCACTTACAAATATAAGTTGTGGGAGAGGTTGTTGGCCTCACTGGCTGCAAGAGAATACAAAGAAAAAGTTAACGTAATACACTAAGCAAGCACGGACCAATTAAACACTGTAGGAACAGCTTCCTATCATAAAATGTCACTATAGAAGAGGATAAGGAAGAGAGAAACTCCTTCCCAGGGCAAAGAGAGGGTAATATCTTCATCAGTCTAGAGAAAATAATGCCTTCAAGACAAACAAGAACAAGAACTAACATGTGGATATCTATAGTTACAAATTTTAGAAACTGCAAAGTATGTGACTCCAAGCCCTAAATCTTGCTCAACAAAAATGGTTATTCCAAGCGCTAAGTCTATAAATTCTTCCAAGAAAATGGGACTTTCTTTGACGATAGAAGTTCCAAAAAAGAGGATTTTTTAACATCTCTCAAGAGGTAACCACACTACAAAAGCAACCTGCATTTAGGTGGTATTCTTCTTTGTTTTGTTTACATAACTGGACAACATATATATTTTGAGAAGGAAAGATGCTTTTTGGCACACAAATATAGCTACCCTTAACTAAAGCATCGCTAAAATGGTGATATTTGAAGAGAATCTTAAGGAAGCTCGAGGACTTACATGGAAACAACTTATACACGGATCTAAGGTTGTTTAAGATCTATTACATAGTTTCCAAAATTTTATTTGAAGCTGCATAAGACCCTTTTGCTCACAGTTCCACCCACAAAAAATCTAAAAATAATTTTTTTTCAGCATTCTCAAAATAATAATAATAATAATAATAATAATAACAATTTTGTTCTACTTTACCTTTTCATTTGGGATCAAATCTGGAGCATTATGCTACAGCTGCTTTCATTTTCTTCTTCAGTTCCTCAGCAAACACACAAACTCTTCTAGCCCTGATTGATTCCCGAGAAAATGAGTTATTAACTCAACAGAAAATTTTCTCACGGATTTCTTTAAAATCCGAGGGGAAAAAGACTCCAAACCTTTCCCTATTTTACACTAGTTTCCAAGAAACCAGACAAAGAAAAGCTATAAAAACGTTAACTTGGCAGCAACAAACTACATAATGTGCCGTGAAAACCCATCAACCGTCAAGCACTTGTTAACTACAAAATAATTTAAATGACAAAAAGAAACTGAGAGAAACATCAACTTGAATGGTTAAAACATTCAAATCATTCGGCTTTAATGGGTCTAAATTATACTGTCACTACTGTTCAGACACCACACCCAGTAGGGCAGTAGCAATTTTCTGGTCGTGCATCTCTCTGTTTTCTTGATTGCCTTCTACTTGCATATCGAAAGCGAAAGGGCAGTACTTTTTTAGTTTTTGTTTTTTTTTTTACACCGCCCTTCCAGCTTGTTTCCAATTTAGGAAGTGCCAGGTCAGCTATGAAAATTTGCTGGACCCACCAAGATTTGAATTTTGAACACTACAGTACACTTACATAAGATCGATCATTAGAATAGTTCTTTCTTTTCTCTTTATCCATTGAATAGTTCATGGCTCTTGTTCTTAATGAAATCTGATGAGATGTTAGTAAAGGGCTTAAACTCAATGGACTTGAACAAGTTACTAGGAAAAAAGAATACAAACTGGAATATACTTCAAACCAAACAGATAGACTTAAACAGGTGAAAATTGAAAAACCAAACGAAACAAAATGATTTCATTTCTCATCAGGTATCCTTCAAGAACATCTCAAAACTATCCCCATCATTTTATAAACTGTCTTGAAAAAGAAAACCAACTTGAAGAACCAAAAAAAAAAAAAAATGACAAAAGACTAACAATTTACAAAAGGAGCAACTTTTATTTTCTTCGCAAAATCAGATTGTAATCTCTTTCATGCATTCAAATTTCTCTGCTTGTCCCACTGCTGAAATGGCTACTCGGAGACACCCATGACCCTTCATTGGTATCCGGACCGTCAGGATTTGTTGCTTGGCCTATAAGAATATTAACGGCTTCTCTAACTTTTGGCCTAAACTGCGGATGTGGATGCACACAATCAATTCCTACACCTAGCAACCTTTCCATCTCCAGTTCATCAAACTTCCCTTCTAATTTTGAATCAGCAGCCTGAAGAAGTTTTCCTTGGTATAATAACCTCCGTACCCAATCAACAAGCATAGTACCATCATCTTCAATAGGCTTTTTTCCTGTGGCAACCTCTAGCACAACCACACCAAAGCTGTAAACATCAGTTTTAACAGAAGGAATACCAAAATCAAGATATTCAGGAGCACTATATCCCGTTTTTTCAAATGTAACTGGACAATGTTTGTAGATGTATGCTACACCAAAATCTCCAAGTTTGGCATTGAATTTTTCATCAAGAAATATGCCGCTGGTTCTCACATCTCCATGAATTAACACTTCCTCGCATTCTTCGTGTAGATACGAAAGAGCAGAAGCAACTCCAAGAACTATATTTAGCCTATGCTTCCATGAGAGGACAATCGGAGAACTCGTATTATTATGAAGGATTCCGTCAAGATTGCCATTACGTAAGTATTCATAGACAAAGACTAATTCTTCTTCCTCATAGCACCACCCTCGAAGCTGAACCAAGTTATTGTGTCTTAAGTAATAGGCCATTGTTGCAAACTTAGAAATGGATTGGTGGCGAAACCAATCTGCAAGTTGGAACCTCTTAACTGCAAAAGTTCCTAGATCTCGAAAAAACCCCCTATACATTGTAGCTGAACCTCCTTCTCTAATAATTTTATCAGGAGAAAACCCCACTGTAGCTATCATTATGTCTTCAATTGAAAATCTTTTTAGTCCTCGTTGCGCTATGGGAATTTGATCTTCTTGATTTCTTTTGCCAAGATTACACTTCTTTTGCCTTATTACAAAGTAAATGACAGTTATGGCGAATGCATATGCAACTAAACAAGCCATAGCCAACACCAAAGTCTCTGCTGTTCTATCATGAAAAACAATTGGGTCATCATTATTATTTGGAGCCTCCGCAGAATCCACGAAACAAACATATTCTTCAGTTGTATTCAAAGTAGTATTGAATCGCCAATAATCAATTACATGAACAGCAGAGCCTTCCCCATTAGAAGCAGAGAAACCAACATGCATAAACTCCTTAAAGTACTCAGAAAGATCAACTTTAGACACAATAATAGGCTTTGGAGGCTTAATTTTCAAGTAATTAACCCAAACCTGAATCAACTTATCAGAATCTATGTACTCAATCCAAGAATTGATCTTTCTCCCACTTCTAAGATCAATCCCTTCTGATACAACATCAACAGAAGCAAAAGATACAACTGTATTATTGACATCAATTCCAATATGATTATTGTTGATATCAAAAAGGGAACGATCATGACTTGTATCAAATTCAACAGCAAAGAATGAATCTTTTGGATTTAAGGCCCTTCCTGCGGGAAGACCCATGTACCCATTATAGAGGCTAAAAGATTTGGGATTAGAAGTGATCAAGAATGCTATACCGTCACCAAAAGAGCATGTTGGAGATGGGATTATGGAGAAGGAGAATTGGATGGAGAAAGATGCAATCTTTTTGGTTTTTGGATCAACAAACCTAATTGGATATCGATAGAGAGCTCTTCCAACCCCAGAATTAGAAGAAGAGTTAGAGACAGAGCAATTCTGTTCTTGAGTGAGAGTAATGGAATTGTTTCTAAACCTAGCATCTCCATAGAGAGTGATACTCTTTGCAGGCGAGAAAGGAACGGAAAGCGAGAGAAAAATGAAGTTGAAAAAGAGAAAGAAATGGAACCATAACAGCAGAGTAGTTGTAAATTCCATTGTAAAGAAAGGAAAACGAAGAATCTTGGTTGCTGACAGGGGTGGTTCTTGAGAGAGAAAATAGGTGTTTAGGAGAGATTTCTACGAAGAAGAAGAACCCAGGATGGACTTTCTTGTTTATTTGAAGAAGAAGGGTAGGGGTGGGGGTGGGGGGGGGGTATTGGATATCGAGTAGAGAGCTCTTCCAACCCCAGAATTAGAAGAAAGTTAGAGACAGAGCAATCTGTTCTTGAGTGGAGAGTAATGGGAATGTGTTTCTAAACCTAGCATTTCGTCCGATAGAGAGTGATACTCTGCAGGCGAGAAAGGAACGGGAAAGCGAGAGAGAAAGAATGAAGTTTGAAAAAGAGAAAGAAATGGAACCGAAACAGCAGCAGCAGTTAAGTATGTAGAATGTCCGATTGGTAAAGGAAGGGAAAGACGAGAATCTTGGTGCTGTACAGGGGTGGTTGCTGTGAGAGAGAGAAAGTTAGGTGTTCTTTAGGAGGCAGATTTCTGTACGAAGAAGAAGGAACCCAGGGATGGACCTTTGCTTGTTTATTTGAAGGAAGAAGGGTTGAGGGTGGCGGTGGGGGGGGGGTGAGAGAGAGAGAGAGAGAGGAGGGAAAACATTGGAGGGAAGAAGAACCAGTTTGTGTACGTGAAAGGTGGAGGAGGAGGAGAGATTGGGCCTGCGTTTTTTAGTCACTGGCCTAGAATGTCTTGCACCTTGTTCAATACAAGGGAAGTTTAGACTTCGTGGTAGGTTTGGTAGCGATTGAAAACTTTAGATTTGAGAGGGGGGGGGGAGAGAGAGAGAGAGAGAGAGGGAAAAATTGGAGGGAAAAGAACCAGTTTGTTACTGAAATGGAGGAGGAGGAGAGATTGGGCCTGCTTTTTTAGTCACTGGGCCTAGAAGTCTGCACCTTTTCAATACAAGGGAAGTTGTAGACTTCTTGTTGTAGTTGGTGAGCAGATGAAACTTTAGATTTGAGAATCGATGAAATATATACCTTTAGTACGACGTCATTTTGAGTCACAATATTCACCCACTTGCAACGACATCGTTTACAGGTCTCCCAGTTCTTACCTTTTAGCTTCTAAAACGCCTTACCCGAACCGGTGAAAGCGGAGATAGAAAAGAAGCTTTCTTTCTCTAGCAATGGAAGCCAATCTCTGTGCATTTCTAGGCCTTCCATCTCCAGACTCTTGTAATCCATCCCACTCAATAATCCAAAATGACTTCACCAATCTCTTCACTCACCTCTCCTCTCCCTTTTCCACCCAAACCCCACAAAAAACCACAAAAAACCACAACAAACCCATCGCCAAATCCCTTCAATTTGCTTCCAATTCTCTCTCCTCAAACCGCAAAACAACATCGGATTTCTCCAAATGGCTCAAACCCACTTTAAGGAACAGCCCCAAAGTCCAAACCCTCATGAAGAACCTCTCTGTCTTTGAACGAGCACTAATAGGAGCTGGAGGTGGTGGCATAGCCGGTGCATTTACTTATGTGTGCCTGCACCCGCTTGATACAATCAAAACAAAGTTGCAAACAGAGGGTGCATCTCAGGTTTATAGCAGCACATTTGATGCTATAGTCAAAACATTTCAAGAAAAAGGGATTTCAGGGTTTTATAGTGGTGTATCTGCAGTCATTGTGGGTTCTACGGCATCATCAGCTGTGTATTTTGGGACTTGTGAATTTGGGAAATCAATTTTATCCAAATTAGAGAGATACCCATCTGTGCTTATCCCTCCTACTGCTGGTGCCATGGGAAATATTGTATCTTCAGCTATTATGGTACCAAAAGAATTGATAACTCAAAGAATGCAAGCTGGTGCTAAAGGCAGGTCATGGCAAGTATTGTTGAAAATATTAGAAAAAGATGGTATCTTGGGTCTATATGCAGGGTACTCTGCTACTTTGTTAAGAAATTTACCTGCTGGTGTACTAAGTTATTCTTCATTTGAGTATTTAAAGGCGGCAGTATTAAGTAAGACTAAAAAGAGTCATTTGGAGCCTATTGAGAGTGTATGTTGTGGGGCATTAGCTGGGGCAATTTCAGCATCAATAACAACACCACTTGATGTGGTTAAGACAAGATTGATGACACAGGTGAATAAGGAAGTGGTGGATAAGGTTGCAGCTGCAATGTATGGCGGGGTTTCTGCAACTGTTAAGCAGATTTTGAAGGAGGAAGGCTGGGTTGGATTTACTAGAGGAATGGGTCCAAGAGTGGTTCATAGTGCATGCTTTTCTGCTTTGGGGTACTTTGCATTTGAGACAGCTAGACTTACTATTTTGCATCAGTATTTGAAGCACAAAGAGTTGCGTGAATTGGATGTTGCTCCTGCTTGATTAATGGCTATAAATCGAGTATTATGTGCTATTATTGGTGATAATTCTTATCCTTTCTATTATGGCTTTGTTTTTCTTAAAGTAAGTTATATATCATTCTTTCTTTATTGTACGCATTTTGAATAAAGAAACTTAGACATATATTAGCTTTTCCTTTCACAGAAAGGTACAAAAACAATAGCTTTCAATAGTACACTGAGTTTTGGTTTTGCTATCGTTTCTTTTACAGTTGCAAAAGTTAAAAATAGAAATAAAACAGCAAGCTAAGCAACAATGATTCAGTTTTGGCTTGATTAATTGCTCTAGGCTATTTTTTTGGGCCGATACATACAATTTAGTTGAGTATTTTCTACAAGAGTCCTTATGTAACTGAATCTTATTGCAGCGACAAGTTGTCTACATCTGAAGACACATTTGACATGGTTATCTCAAATTTCAAAATAGCTTGCTTTAGATCAGTTAGTTTGACATTTTTTGAGGAGCCTTTTATTTCCTTTCTTCCTTTGTTTTGAATGTTGTTGATCAACTTAGATAGGACTGTCCCTTTAGACAGGTTTGTTTTGGAGGATTTTTTTTTCTCTTTTTTTTGCCTTTTCTTTTTTTCTCTCTCTTTGATGCTCTTGTATACCCTTCTCTGAACAAAAACATCTAATATGAAATGGCTTTATATGTGCTTCAAATCACCCATGAATGCGGTTTGTAGTGCTTCTGCTGTATCTAGGGGACAAAGTCCAAGTGCCCAAGGCATCCCATCTTGTAGGACCTATGGAGATGTGGTTTGAACCTGTTGTGACCTCCTAAGCGACTGTGGAATAACCTTACCTTTGTGCTGAGACTTTGAGGAGATGGAACAAATTTTGGTTTTTCCTATTATTTTATATAGATGGTGAAGGCTGTAGTACATCTGCACCCAAACAATTGACTACTGGCGAAAAAAGTTCCCAGTTTTTGTATTTGTATTCTGTGTGAGTTCTTGAAATTGATAGCTTCCTTCTTCTCTAGTATTGTTCTGTTATAGGTAATTAGCATGACATAAAAAATGAGTGCTTCCAGGTAATGGAGGATAAATTGAATCCAGAAAGGTGTGCGTGTAGTTTTGTAGGGTTTAAAGCAAGGAGCTCAACTTGGCAATCAATAATGGGGTAGTGTGTCTAGAATAAAAATTCGTAGTATGCAGACATTGGGTAGAAAAGGCTACCATCATAGTAGTTTGAGCACAGATTGATCTACTCTTAGTGGTTTGCTGTCTGTAAGGATACTAATGTGGGAGAATATCTGAGTTGACATTTACCTTTGTTGTTTTCAAGATGAGTGTGAATTACTTGTCAATGGATAATTGATTCTACAATTGTTACAGTTCAACCCAATTCAAATTCTATTGCAATTCATGCGCATACTTTGGATACTGGAAACCTATCCAAATCTAGAAGGTTTTAATACTAGAAACCTATCCAAATCAAGGACTTAGAAACCAGCCAATTTGTTTTGAAGAATGGTTGTGGTTCTGATGTTAGATAATGATATGATTATTACTAACAAAAAATTTTTCCTGTTCTTCTCCCTTTTTGAAAACTAGTGCACGATAAGGTAAAAGAATATGTGAAGCAAGAAGATCGAATTTAAGAAGTGAGGAGGGAAATGTTTTTGTCAATGCTAAAGGTGTGTTATGCATTTGATGCAATAATGATACCTTGCTCTTGCACAATATAAAATAGTCTATGAAGTGAATGTATGCTTGTCACTGAATATTTGATGTCTGTAACTGACTATGTTTGAAGAAAAATAAAAATTTTGCTTGTGTACACAGATCTGTTCTTAACATGAGAGCATGTCCATAGCTGCTGGTATGGTGACTTGTATTAATTGTATCTATTACTGCATTTCATTGCCTGCTTTGGATGAAATTCTCTTTATTCAACTTCACTGTCCAATGTTAATTAGTCCATAAATCTCTCTATAAGCCAATATATATTTTAGTTGGGGAAAGCTGGTTGCGACCATTTTATTTGGCCTTACAGACCAAGGATATTATCCAGGCCAGGTTACTGTTACAACCAGTGGCCACTCAAATGGGTGAAATTTTTAAATTAGATCATGCTACTTTGAAATCTAATGGTGTTTTTGTCCATTTGGGTTTGATTGTGTCAACTTAAAGATCCATATTTGTTTAATTTGTGGAACGTGATAGAAAGTGAAAGAAAATGAATTACAGACGAGAGGGAGAAGAATTAGAAGAGAAAGGAAGAGAGAAGAGAAGATGAGAGACAGAAGAAAGAAATTGTACTGTATTGTATTTTGTAAAAGTTACACAGAAGGGCATTTGGCCCAACGGTAGAGGGGCTCAAACTAGCAAACAGAGTTTGAAACTGGGGCTCTATGATGCAGGGAAATTTCTAGCTATGAGCATTTCCCTATTTCTGTTTTTGTATAAAATATCATTTTCCGTGTAAAATTATATTTCAAATGTTGTTCCACGTTTCCCTAACATAGCTTGGGGCCTATAGCCTGGGGCTTGGGGCCTATAGCCTGGGGCCTGGGGCTAGTGCAACGCCTACAGGTTGAGCAATATAATTAGAAAGCAGTGATAGATTCTATACAATTGCCATTCTCTAAAATAATATGGAAATGAGGGGGTGGATGACCATATAATGCATGAAAGGGCACATATTTATGCTGGAAAGGAATGTAGCGACGATATACGCACCACCACACAGCAAGGGATAGCTACTTACTCCAGTAAGAAAGAAGGCTTTTGAAAAGTCACGTATCTGACATACTCTCTACACATTTGTTCAATCTTTCTATTTGTGGATGCTAAGCAGTTGAGAGATTGTTGTGGCTAATACCCAAGCTTCTAAAAGGTCTGCCAAAATACTTATTACCGGTAAATATTTTATTCACAGTAGAAGGATTTGTCAAAGTTGTAAAAATACCCAAGTTCAAGCCTTTTCTTTTATATATATACTTTTGAAAAATTATTTTATTGTGTCTCTGTATTTTACCGAATTAATTAATCTATATTGTTTGCATATTTGTACTTTTAAACTGAAAATATACAAATTAAAATATTAATAAAAGCATAAAACAGAGTACCAAAGGTAAAAGATAAAGATAAATACAATGATAAAATAGTGCTTTCTCGTGATTTTAACATTTCATCCACTTGTTTATCTATTTCATTTTTTGGAAGTGACGGTATAAGTACGGTATGAGGTTAATTAAAATGTATCGCATTCAAGAACCACACATCTTTGTCAAAACAATAAATGAAAAAATAGACAAGCTCTCTCCATGCAAGAAAGACATGTTTAAGTTGACCCCACGACCAAATGTAATGAAGGAAGCGGAGGTAGTCTCCAATGGCTTATCTTCTTCAAGGGAAGTTTCCACCATCTTAGGAATAGTAAGCAAACAGCCTTTGGCCCAGTACAAAGCATGGCCTATCGCATTATAGCACACCAAACTCAAAAATTAATGCTTTCAAAAATATGTAGAAGGGCTTGTAGTTCTGATAGTCAATATTTGCTGTGGCCAAATTATATCCATTCACCTAGATCCACAAAACAGTAGCACTTAATTACATTGACCATTGTTAACATACTTAATTAATTAGCAAAAACTGGAAATTTTTGTAAAAAAATATCAAATTTGAATCTTGTAAGAAGAATGTAGATATTTTTCTATCGCGAAAAACTTACTTTTTTTTTCAATGTATTGGTCCAACCATATATCAAATCAATTAATTTATATTTCTATTTCTGATGAGAGTATTTCTGACTATTTTCTAAGAAAAAATGGACAGAATAAAAAAATTATTCATTGATTAGTTTGGTGATGGAGTGAACCATACACCACCGAGTGCAGGTAATTCCTTCGTTAACAAATACAATGAGACCGACAAAAGTCACTATCTCCTCTAAAATAGGTTTATGTTTAGTTTTCAAAATATTAATAAATTTAAATATTTATATTTCTCCCTTTTAGGTATAAATCATGCATTCCTGACCGGAAATATTGGAATGCAAGATTGATTAATATAGGGCAGAACATTTGATCAATTTGGTTCAAAGTAAATCAAATCAATATAAATTGAATAAATAATATTTTTTTCTAAATGAAAATTAAACAAAATCAATTAGACCGGTCAATTAGATTCACTTTAATTGATTTATAGAGTTTTTCTTTTTCTTTTTTTTTTCTGAATAAGAGTTTTTCTAGTTAATCAAAGTCATTTTAACTGAAAATATTTAAAAATTTTTCCTGTTAAAATTAAAAATTAAATTAAATTAATCTGATCTGATTTGATTGGATCATTTAAATTGAAGACTACTCGACCCTACGAGAAAACTTACTTAAATTTGGTTCATGTCTCCACCTATGGATCAAATCAATGAAATTTAGTATTTTTACTAAAATGAGAGTATTTCTGATTATATATTTGAGAAAAAAAAAGAATAAAATCGAAATAAAAAAAAAAAAAGGAAAAAGGAAAAACTCTTAGGTTACATCAATGTATATAAAATATATATTTTAACATTGAGTAGGCTAGAAAAGAGAAATTCCTCCCGAATAAAATATTGATCCCAATGGTCCTGTAGTTTGGACTTTAGGGATTGGACACTCCGTCCAAAATCAAAGGGAAAATTCTATGCCAATTGCTGTTTCATTAGTGCTATTCTCCCCTACAGTTGCTCAATTTTGACATTTTCAATCCCACATGTTAAAAGCGCTTACTCCTTTAGTATCGGCATTATTGACATTGTCATAGGATATACTTTTCTCCTTTTTGGTTTTTTTTTTTTTTCATCTCTTTCTCTTTTTCTTTTTATTTCACACACCTTTGAAGCTTATTCGGTAAAATTAACTATTTTTGTAATTGTTAGCTATTCTAACAGCATTTAACTATTTAAGCAATTAGTAACTCTTTAAGTAACTTTCAATAAAACGTTAAAAGCTAAAAGTTACTAATCAAAATATTAAAAATTACTTAAAAACTGTTTTTGAAATAATTCGAACAATGGCCGTTCTATATCCAAAAGGGGATTGGATGGCCAACGGAGCCCGAGCTCGTACAATTCTCGACAAATTAAGATTGTGTTAGACAACAGCTTTTCAAGTAGATTTTAGCGACACTAAACGCTATTTTTTATACTGTTCGGCAACATAACATTTGAATTAATTTTTAGAGATTAATATAACGTTTTATCAAAAATTAATTCATGTAACATTTAACTTTTATTATTTTATAAAAACTACTCAATCAGCTAGACGCTGTTAAAACAACTAATAATTACTAAAACAGCTAATTTTAACTAAATTTGAAAATACATTTCACTTCCTCTCATCCAATTCTCTGTTGATTCTATATCTCTTTTCTCAGCATTTCAAATTTCACATCAACTAAGCAATCTTAGCATCTAGCTTGCTTTATTTTTGTTCATGTTTGCTGAAAAAGATGATTACTTTTATAAAATCACAGGGAGCCATTCTTTTTTCTTTTCAAATAAATAAAATTTTGTTGTCTCTTTAACTTTCCATCTACATCATTAGCTCATTACTCCACTAACTATAATTTAAGATAATCAAATTATCATTTGCAACAATCATAGTGAATCAATATGAAGGATTATAATAATCATAAACCTAAAGTTTAATCTGATTGATAAAAGTGACTTACTCGTTTTTATTTATTAATTCAGAAACAAGATTTTGTTTTTTTCCATTGCACCTACATTTTTTTTTTTTTTTTTTAATTACTAAAAACAGCTAATTTTAACTAAATTAAAATACATTGTTTCACTTACCTCTTCCATCCCAATTCTCTGATTGATTCTATTATCTCTTTTCTCAGCATTTTCAAATTTCACTCAACTAAGCATACCTCTTAGCATCTAGTGCGTTTATTTTATGCGTCCATGTTTGGGCTAAAAAGATGATTACTTTTATAAAACTCACAAGGGAGCCATTCTTTTTTCTTCTTCAAATAATAATAAAATTTGTTGTCTTCTTTAAAAACTTTCCCATCTACTATCATCTAGCCTCATTACTCCACTAACGCTCTCATATAATTTTAAGCCTAATCAAATTATTTTCATTTGCAACAAATCATACGTTGAATCAATATGAAGGATAAATAATCATTAAACCTAAGGTTTATATCTGCATATGACTTACAGATAAAAGTGTGACATTACTCGTTTATTTATCTAATTCAGAAACAAGATTTTGTTTCCATCTTGCACCTTTCACATTTTTTTTCTTTTCTGCAAACCTATACTTTATGATACAAATAATAAAATTCTCCTATGACACAACAAATCACATTTTTTTTTTTTTTTTGCAAACTATTTATATACAAATAATAAAATCTCCTATTGAACAAAATATCTATACAAAAAGCGTTATCTAGCTACGGGATAATTACAATTATTTTGTCTATATATTGGAAATTAAGTTTTATGGAATGTAAATTAAGCTCCAATAAAAGTTATGAATTTTTAAATTTTTTTTATTCGTTAAGAGCTCCCATAACACTAGGTAACCCTCACGTTTGCTCATCATCAAGAGTTTGAGAGGACTTGAACCAAATCACATTTGATTTGTTGAATTATTAAATATTTATAGAATAAAATTAAATGATTTGAATTTTATTACTAATTAAAAAGATAATAAAATCAATGTTTTAATACTTAGTAGAGGTATCTATTTTTTATTTTATTACTTGCATAAGGTATCCAGTCTTAGTCTTATGGCCGTTTGAACGGTTCACAATAAACTTAATTAATTCGATTAATCCCATCTTGCCTTGAAAGCAAAAGGACTAACACGGACTAACTTAGATGATTAAACTCATGACCTAAGTCAGGGTAATCAATCTCAAAAATGTTCTTTGATTATAGTTGTCTTTTCATTTATTTTTTTTCAAAGTTGTCTTTTTATTTATTTATTTCCTCAATTAAACAAATCTGATAAATTCATAAATGTTTAAATTATATCACGCAAATTCTAATTGACGATGAAAGAATAACATTCAAAAATCTAAAGATCAAAGCAAAAAATAAGAAAATAACAAAGAATAAAAACAAACCATCCATAATGTCAAATGATTGTATAAATTTCATTAGAGAAGTTGAATGGTCAATTCTAACACTTACAACTTAAAAACCAAAAAAAAAAAAAAAAAAAAAAAAAAAAAAAATAAAAAAAAAAAGAATTTCTTTCTATGTTCCTTGCTGTCTTGATGTTCATCTAATCATCAACAAAAATCGCTAATTCATGTCCTTTTCCTAAAAATTATCAACAAATTAACTTCTTTTTTTCTTTTTATTCACCTATTCCAAATTGCAAATCTAACAGGGCATGATCGATTCGGAGTAGTTAGTCTCATAACTCCACCACCATCCCCATTTCCACCATTTTTGTACCTAATTTCCATCCCATATAAAAAAAAAAAAAAAAAAAAAAAAGAATTTCTTTCTTTTCCTTGTGTTTGATGTTAATATCAACAAAATCCTAATTCATGTCTTCCTAAAATTATCAAAATTAACTTCTTTTTCTTTTTTTCACTATTCCAATTGCAAATCTAACAGGGCATGATATGAGTAGTTTTAGTCTCATAACTCACCACCATCCCATTTCCACCATTTTTGTACCTATTTCTCATTACCTTAATCAATTCTCCGCACATCCTTCTCACAGTCCCATCTCCTTCGCTTTGCATCACCAACAATAACTTCGTCAATCCATTGCTGCCCATAACCTTCTCCTGCACCCTCTCGTCCCGGAACGTACAGCATAAACTCCACAACACCAATACGGCATCCTCCGTCGCCGTTTTTGTCACCTTCATTAATCTCTCTACAATACACCCTGCGCATTTCGCGTCCTCGCTTATCGCTGCCCGACCTTCTGTGCATGTTGAAATGATTGATAATAGCTTTAGGCACTTCTCAATCAGTGAAATGGCTGCGTTTTTGTTGGAGAGGGTGTTTGAGAGGAGCTGAACGAGTCCGAGCTGGACGATTTGGGTTTTGATCGAGCGAGTTATGGTTAGAGAGATCAAAAGAGACAAAACGGTGTCGTGTAAAGCCGGTAGATCGGTTTCTGATTTGAGGAGATGGAGAAGAACCGGGATGAGGTTTTGTGTTTCAGCAATGAACCGTTTCGATTCATTGTTGAGTGAAATTGAACCCAAAACTCTAATGGATTGGATTTTCGAATTTGAATTTCCATTTTTGATAACAGAGAGAAACGAAGACAAGCAATTCTGATTTTGAAGGAATAATCTGTGCACTTTCTCTTTGATTCCATTTTGAACCAAAATTAAGTCCAAAACCCTAATAATCAACTCCAAAACCTGAATTTCTACTCCTTCTCTGCTTAAAACAATAACAATTGCATCAATAAAACCATCAAATCTCACCAAAAATCTACTATTCTCCTCTGAATAATTCAAGAACTCCACAATCTTCACCAGCGATTCCACTCTTTCACGCTTAATTTCCTCAATCCAAATCCCAACTTGCTGGTCGGAGATCGTCGCAGCAGCCGGAGAGTTTTCGGAATCAGGCCGGCGAGTAGAAGATTGATTCCAGAGGTTGATAAGGCGGTGGAGAGTGAGATTAGGAACGAAGTCTTTGGTGTCGAGGACCTGCATCGTAGCGGGACAGGTGTCGTGTCCACTATCGAGCCAGTGCTGGATACTGGAGCGATCATATGTGACGCCAGTGCAGAGACTTACCGGAGACTTCATGACGTCTAGAGATATTGGACACCGGAAGAGATTGGGTACGGTAATGTACAGCTCGTTTCTTCCCATCTTTTTATGAAAGAGAGAAGGAGAGAGGGAAAGAAAGAGAAAAACCGAAAAGAGTTTGGGAGAATGGAGAAAGATTGGAGGAGAGAGGGTTTTGTAGGAGAAGAGTCAAAGGGGATGACGTCGTTTTGATGAAATGGTGGTGGGTTAGGTCGTTGGTCAAAGTGTCAAACACGGAGTTTTGTTTTTGTTAAATAAAATATAAAAACGGAAATTAGAAATACTAGTAAAAAATATGAAGGGGAATGGAATAGGATGCAAGCGTGGAACATGGGAAGCACGAGTGGACTTGTGTCCATTTGGTTCGCGTAATTTATGGAGTGTCCCTTTGGGTTGTTCTTTGAATGATGGTCCCCACATTGTAAATAGCCAAAAGGGGTAAAGGCAAAGGAAAGATTTCTTAAAGAGGAGGGAAGAGGAAAAGGAACCAAGAGTGATCTCATGACCGATTCAACACCTTTAGGTCGAGAATTCAATATTCAAAACGAAATAAATATTCATTTGAAGCATTTTATCTTTTAATAAATTAATTTGATATAAATAAAATTTAATTTTAATAGTTGAAAATACTTAAGGTAATATAAAAAATAAAAGAAAGAAGAAAAGGAAAGGAATAGATAGAAATGAGAATTAGGTCATTCAATTGAATACTGAAATTATTAATGAAATTGAGCAAAATAATTTCAGTTTAGTTCCATTTTTTAGTTAGAACCAAAATTTGCCCTCTCGGAAATAAGACGAGAGATAAATTTTGATTAGTTGTCGATTTTTTTTAATTTCTATTTTATACACTATGAATATTAATGATGAGATCCATGGATCAAACACAAATAAATACATAGTAAAATTTTATAAATTAAATTATTTAACAAAATATAATTTTATAAATTAAAAAATTTAATATGTCAATTCTACAATAAGGCGTACCAATAAACTTATCTTATAATAATATTGAAGTGTTAAATTATGTATTTGGACAAACATATTGATAATAAAGCTTGACTATATTATTTGACTGTCTTGCCATGTTTTTAAAATTCACTCAAGCTAAAAGGATGAAAAGTGGTATGAAATGAAATCAACTTGTAGTTTTCAGTCCATTAGGTATTTCTACCTAAGCTATAATATAGATGAATTAAAGTAACTTATTGATTTTTATTTCCCCAAGGAAATTTTAACTTACTGAATTTCAATGGTAATCACCTAAATTTTTTTTTTTCCCCTCAGGAGGGAAGGAAAACATGTTTGCACTGAAAGTAATTGACAAAGAATGTGTCTTTTTTTTATTTATTCTAAAACTAAAAGAAACAATTGATTAATGTTAATCAAACATGTTATATAAGAGTTTTTTTTAATATCACTTAAGCGAGTATGAAAACATATGTATAAAATAAAAAATAAAGAATTACACGGATTAAAAAAAAAGATTATGAACATGTGGTTGGATTAAGGGAAAAGAAACATATTCAAGAGAATTCTGGCAACAGATAAGGGGTTTAAAATAACGCGCAATTCACTGTTAAAAAGGTTTTACTTGAATACCATCCTTAACTTGAGAGACGCTTCTTGTGTAGGGGAAAAAAGAAAAAAAAAAAAAAAAAGAAAAATGTTAATCCAAACAATGTTATATAAGAGCTTTTTTTATAATCATTTCACTTAACCGAGTATGAAAACATATGTATAAAATAAAAAAATAATAGAATTACACGGTTATTTAAAAAAAAAAAGATTCATGAACTTGTGGCTGTGGATTAAGGAAGAAAAACATTATTCAAGGTAGGAATTCTGGCCCAACAGATAGAGGGGTTTTAAAAATAACGCGCCAATTCACTGTTAAACAAGGGTTTTACTTGGCAATCAACCATTCCTCTAACTTGAGAGACGCTTCTTTGTGTAGGGCGAAAAAGAAAAAAAAAAAAAAAAGAAAGAACAGAGAAGACGAAAGCGAGGAACCACAGTGGTACATAACGCTCAAATTTGAAAATATTAATTTTTTTTCTTAAACTTTCATTCTAATCCATATCGGTTTCAGACCTTATACTTTTCAGTAATTTTGCATAAAAAATACAAATACTTTTCCAAATAGTCTTTCTCCTCACTTCCAACCTTTTTTCATTTTTTTTTTAGTAAACAAACCCAATTGTTAAATGAAGGGGAAAAAAAAAAAAAAAAAAAAAAAAGAAAAGAAGAGAAGAGAAAGGAAGGGAACACAGGGTCATATACGTAATTGAAAATATATTATTTTTTCTTAAATTCATTCTAATCCATATCGTTTCAGACCTTATATTGCAAGTAATTTTGATAATAAATACTTCAATAGCTTTCCTAATTCAACTTTTTCATTTTTTTAGTAAAACAATAATGACAAGTGCCATAAACTAAACGAGGTCAAAGAAGGCTAAATAGTCCAAATCAGACCATATATATAAATATTTCTTGATCATGATAGGGAGACTTGGAGGCTTGTCTTTGTATTATCATTTTTCTGAAACGTACCCATTAAAATATTAATTAGTGAATTAAGTCTGAGCAGGTATATATTCTCATCCCCATTTTATATTGGCATTATCGATAGAAGTAAGCAATTAATTCTGATTCCATGTTTGAATGTGTTTATGGAAACAAAATTCAACTAATATATATATACGAGTTGGACCAACTGCTATTGAAGCTTCTATTAAAAAAATTAAATTAAATTATCATAAAGATTATTTTACGTAAAATTAACGTCAGTATTTTGCATTTAGATTACATTCATGTGAAATTTTTGAAGATTAACTAATCTTTTGTTGTATTTAAAAAAAAAAATTTCTCTAATTTATTAATTCATAGAACGATATTCACCTTTTATATTTTAGAAATATTTGAAGATAAATTTATGAAATGGACGGAAGTTAATATAACAATTATTAATTATGATTTTCAATTTTAACTAGTCTTAAATCCTTACATCCCTGCCTTCTGCTAAATTTGCAATTTATTATTATTTTTGAGAATTCAAGTAACATTGCATAAATATATTATTTCTCTTTTTATTCATTGCATTCCAAAGTCTTACTTGTAAATCAGGTTCTATTCGGTAATAGAGTTTGGAGTTATGTTTAGTATTTTGATTAATTATCGGGTTCAGTAATATTACATATATTCTAAACCACGCTATATAAATAATTAACCACTAACAGTTAAATATCTAACTGCTAACAGCTAGTGAAATAGTTGAGAGTTATCACAATAGCTAACAGCTACTAGAAATGCTAAAATTGCCAAATACAAGGAATAGAAGAAGGAAAAGAAAAATTGCCCAACAGGACCTCAGAAGTAAAAGAAAAATTGCCAAATAGGGCCTGATAAGGAATAGAAAAAGGAAAAGAAAATTGTTCCAATTTGAACAAAAGAACTGTTAAAATTGCCAAACAAGGCCTCAGAAGGAATAGAAGTAGGAAAAGAAATTGTTTTGGTTTAACAAATGTGGCTTAGAAATGAATCGTGTAAGTCTATTATTTAAGAGCCGTGATCTAGCTTTGGGTATCTTAATAATAAAATTTCCTTAGGTTGGAAAGGATTTGAAAATCTTAAACAAATTTTAATCATGCTACATCAATCTTGCTGAAAAATTGAGGGAGAAGCTAAAGAAGTTGTAGGATAGAGCTCAATCTGAAGAAAAATATCAATGACCAGAGTGTTGAGATTTTTAGGGAAAAAAAATGGAAATGCACAAGATGATTAATAATGTTTTGTACTTCATTCAATTAACAAACGAATGTGCCTATTTATAGGCTTACAAGTGAATCAAATTTGTGCCTATTTATAGGGCTCTTTTAGTGGAATCAAATAGACCTAAAACCTCTACATCTCTAAAAATCATTAATCACTAATAACAGAAACATATCAAATTCTATGCAGAAAAATCTGTCACCTAAATAAAAATTGACAATACTCAACGGATTTTTTCATAATATTATTTTGTGAATTTAATCCTAACATTCTTCCTTTAATTTCAAAACATAAATATCTTTTAGTTACAATAATTAACAATTAACAATTTTATTTACAATCTACGCATTTGAACACATCTCAATTAACTTTGTTGAAGCAGCCGCTCTCTCCAACTCATCATTTTTTGCCATGCAACCTTCTCACACACAATTATTGATGCACTTCCTTCATCAAACCTAACAATTTTTGTTTTTATGAAGGGCACTTCTCTCCAAGTATTGATTGCACTTCTCATCACTTTTTTTATTTTGAGCGCCCACTTCTCCTCCATATTCTCTTAGGGCACATCTCTCCAATACTCAAAAATAACGAGTTCCTTCCTTCTTGCACAAAATTTGAATTTAATTTATTATACCTGCCAACTCCTTTTCTGAATATGACAAAATTTCTTACAATTAAACAACTGGAGGTTCTACCCTTTATGCCAATAACTCACTTTCATTCATGTATTATCTGTTCTTTGGTGTCATATGCCACATGGTTGGAAATTTTCTTCTTTTTGATAACAAATTTGTTCGTGTCTGTCTTGGCAACATTAAGCCAGGCCTCTAATAGTTATATTTTCCCTCTGGAAAATGCTCTTCGCTTGCTCCACAGCTTGTAGTCTTGCATTAGTTAGCTTCCTGACAACCCGGAAAATTCCCAAAAAGATTTTTTGTGTCTTCAAACTAGCAAGAAATTTTCAGAACTCACAACTTTTATGGGTAAGGACTACAGGAATTTTTTTCAACCACCCCTTCTTATCAGGAAATTCCTCACTCAACTAATCTAATTTTTGTTAACCAATGGACATCAAGATGGATTAACATATTCTTTGGACACCTCCGCAAAATTGTTTTCACTTTTTGCATCTCCAAATTCCTTTTAAAGATTCCCACTTGCTACTATATTTCATTCTGCTCGTTGCCTTTGATACTCAATGTTTTCATTTTTTGCATCTCAAATTCTCTTTTAAGATTCAAAACTTGCACTAATTTCATCTGCTCGTTGCCTTGATACTCATTTTTTAATGAGTCTCATATCTCCTTTACTGTTTCACAAGTCATAATACTTGTGAAAATTATATCTGAAACAGAAGAATGAAG